ACTCCCCAATTTTATATTTCACCATGACGAAATCAATAAAAAAATTTATTGTTGACACGTTGCCTTCACGAAGTACTGAGCCCACGTTTCTTACAATTTTGAGAATAATAGCTGCATTTATTGCCGGCATAACCGTGTTAATCTTTTTTGGCTGGAAAGCATATAAGCTGCATAAAGACGAGAGAACTTTATCTTATGGACAAGATGATAGTATTCCTGGTGTTCTTTCACCAAGTATGTAAAATTTTGCTAATCAATTTTCAGAATCTGACATTAATAACCTTTTTTTTTAGTCGCCCATTTGTTTATTCCCGATAAGTTTGCTGTCGACTGCACTATAATCTATTATGACTGTATGTATTTACGCAACAAAATAGCAAAACTTGAATGACTTCAGTCCTAATGCGTATTATCTGTATATGTTAGACACAAATTCTAGTTGTAACCAATATATCAGCAGCATTAGCTTTGAAACAGACATCGACATGTACTACGCAAATTTCAGTGGACCTGACTTGATTTTTCTTAATCCCAACGACGATAAGAACGCAAATATAAACGTCATAATGGAGATTGACCTGAGTATTTCTATACCGAATCCAACACAAGCAGCAACTAAGTTGGGAACTGCAATCTTCATTGATCCAAGTATGTTACATCAAAGTCACATAAATGGTATGGTTACACCTCTAACCGATTGAACATCTAAACTTTAGAGACGTTGGTCGAATTGTCAACTGCAGAACAGGTAAAACCTCGGTTTAAAGGATTGGGTGACTACGACTCTACAGTGTTTGCCAGCAACACATACCCCCTTTATCCAAACCAGGTAAGCTGGAGTCGGAAAGACCAATCGGTAATGTTAATAGTATCTACAAACATGCTAATACAACAACTCTTACATAACTTAGACGTACCTTCTTCAATTCGAACGTAAAATATTCAATCGTCTTAAGCAAACTGCCGATAACAAACTTGCCGGACATGCCCATCAAAGCGAAATAACGATGATAGATAGTATATTCGGTAAGCTAAAATAACTTTTTATTTAATCGAGTTTCTATTTTATCAAGAAAAAAAAAATACTAATTAATTAATTTGCGACTAGTAACATATCCGCCTCTTGACTCAAAAAGTTATTCGCTTATAATGATGGTACCCAAATCTTATATTGTCAGAGTAGAAACCGAAAATTCGTGAGTATACACGGTCGTTCAAAACGCTCGGATTAACAAGGAACACCAATTAGTCAAATGCTAATATGTAACATTGTTAATAACTAGTGAAACTTCAGTAATCGATTTCTTCAGTGATATGGGAGGTATATATTCCACTGCAGGAGCAATCTATGTATTTATTTTCGGTATGTGAACGAAATTTTATTCACTTTTTTGGAATTGTTACTTTATTTTCCGTCGTATATATTTTGTTAAGCGTCTATATTGATTACTCTTGTTTTTTTTTTTTCATAGGCTCCACTATATTGGGTCCATGGGGCTACTTTCAAAGTTTTCTGCCGTTCGTCCGCCGCAAAGCTAGGTCTTGCCTCCACGATAGTCTAAGTCCAAATATTCCGTTTTCTGGGCCTGTGTTCACAAAAGGTTTTTCGAGCGACGATAAAAATGATTCGGTTGAGCCTGTATTCTCAAAAGGTCTTTCAAACGACGATAAAATTGATGCGGTCGGACAAAGACTGCTTTCATTGGAGTTGTTTTTAAAGGAATACGTTGTAGATGTAGACGGCATTATAAAAAGTGACGCTAAAAACGAAAGGGATATCGAGGCGTCTATTGACAAGCATGTCGACATTTCTGAGAATTGATTACAAAGATGAAGAGTTTGATTTAACAAAATTAGTATGCGTCGTTAATGTGTAGTAAATAGTAAAACATACAGTAAATAGTAAATAATCACCTTTATTGCTTGATGCCTTCATTGCATTCGCCATTTGTGATTATTATTTCTCATATTAATATTAAACTTTACTTCTTCCGGTAAACTTTAAAGAAATTTTATATGACCGTTATTATATAACTGTTACGCGTACCGATTCGATATCCACTGTTATGCATCCTCCCTTGAGTATTTATTTTAAAAAAAAAAGCAACAAATGCGCTACTATAACCAAATGCACAACACAACTGTTATTAATGTATAGTAATATCCATCCTAATTACTTGATGCTCGAACTTCCTTTAGTTACTTTTTTAGGTAAGATTTATAAGAATTTTATACGAATGTTTTAGATATCGTTATGCATATTCGATTTTTTATGTATAAAAAAGTCCCACCCACTTCCCACGATATTGTGGGTGTATTTATAAAAAAAATTTTGCGCGCTTGCAGTATTAACGGGTGTTCCGTATTCCAATAATGTCTGATCTATTAGAGTTAGATATTATTTGAATATTCTCTCGTTAATACTTGGAATAACGTTTTTTAAAAACAATCGTATTGGTAAACATCAAAAACCTCTTTTCTTGATTTTCCTTCTTCGCTCGGATTAATTGCACGAATAAAAGACATTATTCTCAGGTATAGTCACAGATTATCTTAATTTGTAATTAACTTATGTAGTGACTGATGTTTTAATTGTATATGTCAAAAGTATATAAATTCTTGATACATCAAGTTTAATTCGATGCAATGCTGTTGGTCTACTGCATCGCCCGCCAGATATCCTTTCGAATTATCCCATATCCAAATACCCCTTATGATAATTTAACAAAAATTGCGGCTGCAAATCTAATCCCGATGGCCGATTATGCTGTAGACACTTAAATCTATCGAACACGTTCCGTAAATATCTCTCTCCTGTTTATCTTCGTGCCAGTTAGGCCGATCTGAAATGACTTCGTCAAGTTATTAGATTATCGTTAATAAATTTAGTAATTTTTTGGGTAAAACTATGAAATTCGGCAATCATGCACCTTGATATTAGCACTAGTACGTTTACTATGTGATACTTATTATAAACACCATTAATTGATCATTGTATAGCACTTTATCCTTCCTTTTTTTCAATTTTACTAAGCACACATTACATCACGTTCCCAAAAATAATATTACGCAAAAAACATAAAAATTTAGTTCTATAACATAAATCGAAATCTTTATTTCCACCCACGTGTAAATTAATCATCTACACCAAAGCAAACTTTCTACAATACATTAACCACATTAACAATAACACCACAAATGAATGTCATACCATAATAACATGAAATCAAAATATATACTCCACTTCTACTTGTCAAATAATGACCCAGAATAATTGTTGTATGTCGGTTTGGAATTTATGTCCATTCGGAATGGACATATGTCGGTTTGGAATTTGTGTCCATTCGGAATGGACATATGTCGGTTTGGAATTTATGTCCATTCGGAATGGACATGTATGTCGGATTGGAATAGTAAAGACAACCAGGTAACA